GAAAAAACAATATTCAACTTCATGTGGAAAAGCAAAAAACTCAGAATAGCTAAGAAGAATCCTTACAATAAAAGAACCTCTGGAAATATCACCATCCCAGATTTCAAGCTCTACTACAGACCTGTAGTAATAAAAACGGCATGGTATTGGCATAAAAACATGCCATTCCAGAGATGGATTGATGTAATTGAATCAAAGACCCACACATAAATCCACACACCTATGGACATCTGATTTTTTTTATTTTAAAAAAAAAAGCCAGAAATATACAATAGAAAAAAAAGGAACCATCTTCAACAATTCATGCTGGTCTAACTGGACGTCAGCATGTAGAAGAATGCAAATAGATCCACATCTATCACCCTGCACAAAACTCAAGTCCAGGTGAATCAAAGACCTCAAAATAAAACCAGATACCCTGAATCTGATAGGTGAGAAAGTGAGAAACAGCCTTGAACACATTGGCACGGGGACCTCAAAATAAAACCAGATACCCTGAATCTGATAGGTGAGAAAGTGAGAAACAGCCTTGAACACATTGGCACGGGAGACAACTTTCTGAACAGAAAACCAATAGTGCCAACACTAAGATCAACAATAAATGGAGTCTCATGAAACTGAACAGCTTCTGAAAGGCAACCGACATGGTAAATAGGACAAAACAGCAGCCTACAGAATGGTAAAATATTTTTACCAACTCCACATCTGACAGAGATAATATCCACAATATATAAAGAACTCAAGAAACTAAGCATCAACAAACCAAATAATCCAATTTTAAAATGGGGTACAGATCTAAACAAAATTCTCAACAGAGGAATCTCAAATGGCCAAGAAACACTTAAAAGAAATGTTCAACATCCTTATTCATCAGAGAAATGCAAATCAAAAGGACTGTGAGATTTCACCTTACACCTGCCAGAATGACTAAGATCAAAAACACAAGCGACAGCTTCTGCTGTTGAGGATGTGGAGCAAGGGGAACACCCCACTGCTGGTGGGAGTACAAACATATAAACACAAACATATATAAGTGCAAAACAGCCACTTTGGAAATCAACATAACGGCTTCTCAGAAAATTGGGAGTCACTCTACCTCAAGGTCCAGCTATACCACTCCTAGGCATATACCCAAAGGATGTTCCATCCTACCACAAGAACTCTTGCTCAATTATGTTCATAGCAGCCTTATTCACAATAGCCCGTAACTGGAAGCAACCTAGAAGTCCCTCAACCGAAGAATGGATAAAGAGATCATGGTACATTTACACAATGGAGTATTGCTCAGCAGCTAAAAAACAATGGCATCATGAAATTTACAAGCATATGGGTGTAACTTGAAAAGAATCATCCTCTGTGAGGTAACCCAGACCCAAAGAGACAAACACGGTATGTACCCACTTATAAGTGGTTATTGACTGTAAAGTAAAAGATGATCATGCTACAGTCACAGACCCAGAGAGGCTAAGGAACAAGGATGGCTTAGGGGGGACACAAGAATCGCCCTGGGAAGGGGAAAGAGATTTCATGGGTGGACTAGGGGCAGGTTGGATCGGGAACAGAAGGGATTAAGTTGGATGGGTGAGTATATACTGAAAAAAATGACTGGATTTGGGGGTGGAGGCATTTCAGAGTCAAGGCGTAAACCTAATGCGAAGGAAACTCCATGGAATCCACAAGAGGAACCCTAGCAAAGACTCCTAGCATCAGGGGACATGGAGCCTGAACTGGCCATCTTCTGTAACAAGGCAAGGCCTCAAGTGGAGGAATTGGGACACCAACCGAGTCACAAAACCTTGGATGTACAGTGTGTCCTGCCTGCAGAGTGTTCTGTAACTGGAGACTAGCAGAGTCCTCATCAAAGAGAACAGAGACTTCACCTGGCACCTGATGGGAGCAGATGCAGAGTCTACAGCCACACATTAGGCGGACTTGTAAAGGAGGAGGAGGAGGAGGAAGGATCTGAGGAATCAGAGGGGTCAGGGACACCATGAAAACACAGTCCACAGAATCAATTGACCTGAATTCATAGGCTCCCAGAGATCAGGAAACCTGTAGGGGTCTGACCTAGGTCGTGCGTGTGTGTGTGTGTGTGTGTGTGTGTGTGTGTGTGTGTGTGTGTGTGTCTTGGTATTCTTGTGGGATCCCTAATAATGTGGGTGAAAGCGATCACTGACCTTTTTGCCTACTTATGGGACCCTTTTCCTCCTACTGGGTTACCTCATCTAGCCTTGATTTGATTGTATGTGCCTGGTCTTACAGTAACATATTATGTTTGATTAATGTCTCTGGAAAAGCCTGCTCTTTTCTGAGGGGAGCAGAGGGAGGGTGATCTGGGGGAGAGGGGAGATGTGGGGGAGAGACTGGAGAGAGAGGGGGAGGGAAAACTATGGGTGGGATGCAACATATGAGAGGAGACATTCATTTTTAAATAAAACTGAACCACATATCATGTCTGAACATGTTTTGATTATCTCCAAAAGGGATAAGGAACAATCCTCCAGGAATGAGGGCTGGAATGAGTGGCCAGAGGTAAGGCCACTTCCCTTCTGTGTGGCCCAAATTTCTTCCTCGTGTCTGTAGCTCTGAAGGAGGATGAGAGGAGCTGGAGAGACCTGCACACTCGTACCCACACTCAAATACCCACACTCACACACATACACACATACACACACACTCACACACATACACACACACTCACACACATACACACACTCACAAACATACACACATTCACACACATACCCACATTCAAATACCCACAACTCACACATATACACACACTCACACACATACCCACACACACATACACACACTCACACACATACCCACATACCCACACACACATACACACACTCACACACATACCCACATACACACACACACATACACACACACACACATACACACACTCACACACATACAAACACTCAAGCACACACAGGCACACTCACCTGCACACACTTGTGTACACTCACAACACATGTCAACTGAAGCAGGATCGTGGGGCTGAGGAGCCCCTGGCCTTCGGCAGGCCACAGGGTGGGCTGCATCTGGCAGCCGACTCCCTGTTCTCTCTGAAGCTGGAATTCCTTTGCTGCTGTAGCTGGGTGGGAGAAGTCCAGGACCCCACCAGTGGGTGCGGATCATGGAGACCCCTCGAGTGAAAGGGTCATACAACAGAGACTCAGGTCACAGTCACTCACTGCACACAGGATACATATTCAGAGGGGTTCACAGGCCGGTGAGGAGTGAGAAGAAAGGGTTCAGACAAGGGTTCCAAGAGGATGAGGACCCAGGCATGAACCAGGAGGGCTGAACTACCTGGAGAGGCGTGGGGTAGCAGCAGGATCTCACCATCAGACTTGAGCCTGGGAAGGAAGGCAGGAGCAGAGGAGGGACCCTGAGGTCTATGGGAGCCATCAAGAAAGAGCTGAAAGAGGGGACTTGGGAGCCTACTGGCTTCGTACCAGCAACCCCTGCAGTCATCCGTGTCTACAACTGCAGTCATCATCTTGAGATTCTCAATGCTTTTCCCTTTGAGCCTGTGCCTGCAAGTAAGCAGGACAGTGATGCACAGGCAGGAATAGCAGCCAGCATGCCTAGGGCAGAGTGCACCAGGCTTGGCTCCACGTGTACAGGGCCCCGGGGAGATACAGAGAGAACAGAGCTCTGACTCCCAAGGCACAAGGCCTTCTGGGAAACTCAAGCAGCCAAGAAACCCTGGCCAGTTCTTTCCTGGTGGCCCTCATTCTGTGCCAGCAGAGGCGGAAGTGGGAACAGGAATAGAAGCAGAGCCATGAGAGTCTTGACTTGGGCTTGAATAATGCAAGCGTGGCAGTGGTCTGACAGTGGCCTAATTGTGAGGATGACGATAGAGAGATGGGATGACAATGTGTGTGCCCGCTGCGGAACAGGCCTGAGGCACTGGCACCTGCCACAAGGCCAACAAACCTCAAAAGCATGCTCAGTAATAAAAGTCACATTCGACAGGCTGCATCCTGTCCCATGTGGGTCCCATGCACATAACGTGGCCAGAATAGACAAATGCAGAAACAGCAGAGAGGTGGCTGCCAAGGCTGAGGGCTCAGGGGACTAGTGCGAGGCTGTCAGTAGGCACAAGCTTTCCTTCGGGACTGGTAGAAATGGCCTGGAATGAGAGGTTGTGGTTACAGTCTTTGAGAGCTTTCCCCTGAGACCTTAAGTTCAAAGCTGAGAGGCCACGGGGCACCAGTGACAGACTCTGGCCCGACAAAGGCGTATGGCCTGCACCACGGGCTGGCAGTGACAGCCAGTAAGCACACAGTCACACAGTCACTCTGGGTCATTACCCTTCCCTGCAGGAGAATCAAGGAACTGTCCCAAAAGCAACAGGGGCACAGTGCCCAGCAGGACATCCCATCCTGGCCCATGACACACTTGGCACAGTATGGGCCCTTCCGGGAACCGGCCTTCCAATGTGCCCTGCACAGGCAGCTCCTTCTTGATGTCACGCTCTCTACTCTCTGCAAGGAGCAAGCGTCTCCTCATTCTTACAGAAAATTTTAGAAAACTCCAGAAAAGCACCAGGAGAAGACTAAGTCACCCTGAGATAACCCAGCCCCTGAGACTTGCTCAACATCCCCTGTCTTGTTTCCTATGTGACTTTGTATAAATTTGGAGCTCAGAATGTCCTTTGTGAAAGGTTCCAACCCAACCATTCAAAGTGACACTTCCATGTTTGTTACAGACCCTATGTCTTCCTTCTCTGCTCCTTAATTTTCTTCATTTTCATAATAAACATGTACTACCTTTTAAATGGAAAAAAATGATCACCCTTACAAAGAACTTTTTAAAAACTGTGGCCTTCATTGTGGCACCTGCTCCTGGCAACCTTGGCCTGCTCTGTTTGTGGGTCCAAGAAGGAAGTGTCTTAGTCCCTCTACGGCTATGCCAGCCTGCCCCTCCAACCCCACCCCTCAAGTCTTCCTTCTGTGGGCCCTTTAAATGCATCCCAGGCACGCAGGCTACTATCAGTCATCTGCCTACCATTGTCACCATGCGCTGCTTCCTCAGCCTCGCTCTCGGCCTGTTGGCCCTGGAAGTGGCCCTCGCTCAGAATCCACGGGAACAAGTCCTCGACTCAGGTAGGCCCCCGTTATTCACCTTACTGCTGGAAGTGGTTTGGAGCGTCCCCCAGACTGACCTCAGCCTTGTATGCCCAGGGTGATGAAGAGGCGAGGAACAAGGGCTCCCCCCAGGGGGAGAATCCATGGCTGGCAGGAAATAAGGCCCTGAAATGGGTTGATGAGTGTTGTCCTCAGGCCCTGACCACTTCTAGTCAGGTTCTCAATGTTCCGCCTATGACCATGAGCCTGTGACATGCTTCTTAATGGTCACAACGGCCTTGTCACGCTTCTATCACCCGGACCACAATTCTGGCAGATCTTTGACCTTTAAAGCTTCTCAGAGACTGAGCTTCGTATAGTTTCTATCCATATCTCCACGCCTCCTTCTGAAAGGCCCTAGAAGTGAAGGTGACAGCTAGACCCTCATTTTCCTCCCCATCTTTTGTGCAGTCCAGGTCATGTGCCCTGAAGCCAGCGCCAATGAGAACCCAGAGTGTATCAACTGTCGTACCAAAGCAGAGTGTGCCCAGAATGCCTTGTGTTGTCGCAGTTCCTGCAACGCCATCTGCAAGACTCCTGTCAACAGTAAGGCTCTGTCCAGTCCTGGTAGTGGGGAGGGGCCAGCAGGATCAAGAGTCTGCCTGAAGAGACACACAGGCCTTTGCACTCATGCACCAGCACTGTGAGACCCACTCACCTGCCAGATCCTCCCTGCAACTTCCTGGCCAACCTGGGTCCTGAGATCTCTGGGCTACCAAGGGTGCTGCCTAACACCAGGGGAAGGACCTCAGCAAAACCCCATCCACAGAGTGGGGTCTTTTTAGTCAGGGGGTCAGTAAGGTGGATCCAGCAAAGCTGGGGCATGAAAGGGCTTTGCGTGGTAAGAGAGTGACCATCTCTCCCCAGTTGATGCTCCAAAGGTTGGCCACTGCCCCTGGAATCCAGTCAACCTGATCCCCGCTGGCCCATGTCTGGAGAAAGACTCATGTTCCAGGGACAGTGATTGTGCTGGCAACAAGAAATGCTGCAAATATGGCTGTGCCATGCAGTGTAAGAGCCCACAAGAAGGTATGCAGTCTTGGGACCCTGGAGCCCCATTTCTCCCCAGGCCTCCTCTGCTATCACCTCACCTTCCATCAGGCCCAAGAACAGATGCAATGTGAGAACAGCCCCAGGACTAGGTCCCAGAGTAGGAGGAGAATGTCTCGGCCAAACCGCATACAACATGTTTGGGCTTTTAGGTACTTGATGTTGCTACTCACGGTAGGAATGAGTGTCGATGAGCAGGGCCTGGAAAAACAGACGGTTCTGCCACTCAAAGCTGGTCCTGGTGAGTTTACGAGCCAGACTGGACCTTCCGCACTTGACCTGAGGGAGCACTGAAGTGTTCAAAGTTAAGAACATGAGCAAGACATCAGCTCAAATCCAACTGCCCATGTCTACCTGTGACCTGGGCATCCCTGTTGTAGGTGAGGGTGTCTCACCCACCTGCCTATTTGGTGACATAAAGAATTGTACACGCTCACCTGCAAAGCCAGCAAAGGTGCCTTCCCTTCAGGTCCCTGGAATGATGGGTATGACTACGTTAGAAGCAGAGGTAACCCCTCTCTCTCTCTCTTCATCCCACCCGTAGCTCCTACAGAGCAGCAGTTCTCTCAGTGAGCAGCCTGCTCTGGGATCCCTGACTGCCAGGAGTGACCAGTCCTAGCTTGTTCCGCAAGAACCTTCACTCCTGGATCCAGAGAGAATATAATGCCTTCTATCTGCTGCTAATAAAAATCCATTTGGCTCTATGTCTCTGTCTGTCTGTCTGTCTTTCTGTCCTGAGATCCTGAAGGAATAACAAAGCAAACCCAGGACTGCCTTACCCTAGGGTCTCCAGGGTGGTGAGGCAGCCACAGGTGTTCCCCAATGGTGAAGAGCATGCATGGGAGGGTGGGATACTGAGTCAGGTTTGCTGAGCCACAGCCAAATCCCATCAAGACTGTAGTACCACAGTGAATCTCAGGACCAGAAAAGGCCTCCTCACCTGGTGCCAGGGGTATGAGAAAGGTCTTTTGCACCTGAATCCTTCAAAGGTGTGGCTAATTCTAGTCCACGGACAAGTTAGAAGCTGGGTCTGCAAGGGACTTCAAGCTAGACATCAGTATGCAATGAACAAGGCATAGTCATTGAGTGTGCAATGAACAAGGCATAGTAACTGAGTGTGCAGGAAAGGGTTGGCCACACACTGACACCGCTCCAAGCCAGCATCGTGTACCCTACTCAGACACACACAGCGTAACTCCTAGCTCACGCCACCCCTGACACTGTCCGCCTGGGTTCGCATCAGACTCTGTGAGTAAGGGGTTCAGTTCCAACTTCAGACACCACACTCCTGACTCAATCACTCCCACTGTCCCTTTGTAAGTGTGTTGGCAGAAGCAGAGATGTTCTAAAGAGGCAGTGGCATCCCTCCCTTTGGCTATTGAGACAATGGATGTCCGGGTTGGAATTTCTTCAGGAGTCTTACTCTGGAAGAGGAAAAGAGCCGAAGCTCTGGCCCAGTCAGAGGAGGACCCTGCCTCTTGCACTCATTAGTTGCTTTTGCTTTGTTTTGTTGTCAGCTAGACCCAAGCCGTGGTCATCTAGAAAGAGGGAACCGCATTTGAAATCCCCTCAGATTGGCCTGTAGAAATGGGGCATTTTCCTAGTTAGTAATCGATGTGGGAGAACCCAGCTCTCTGTGGATGGTGCCATCCCTGGTGGCCCTAGGGTGTATAAAAAAGCAGGCTAAACACCTAAGATGAGCAAACCAGTAAGGCCATTCCTCCGTGATGTCTGCTTCAATTCCTGCCTTGAATTCCTGCCCTGACTTCCCTTCAAAAAGGACTGAAACTGTAAACTGAAATAAGCCCTTTCCTCCCCACAAGTAGTTTTTGATCATGATCTTTATGGCAGCAACACAAATGTCACAAGAGGAGATTTTGCAGATGCTGACAACTTCCCAGACTACCTTGCCTTTGGATAAACTGCAACACAGATGATGATGGGCTGGTGATGGGCAGGACCACATCTTGACCAGGGCTGCTCAGCAGTACATACCTCTTGCCCCCTATGAAACCTAAACTTCATTTCAGGACCCCAAAGGTGGACCTGTAGAGTCTCTTTATTTGTTCCTTTCCCGGTATGGCCGCACTGAACAAATCTCCTTTCTCTGGTTTTCACTACTAAATGACTCTTTAGTTGCTGTGCAGGTGACTAAGTCCAAAACCTGTTGTGGTTAATTTTAATTGTTCATTTGGCTAGATTTAGAATCAGCATAGAAACAGACCTCTGTTATTAAGATGTTTCTAAAAAATTGTAACAAAGAGAGAAGGACCATCTGAATTGGGGGCAGGGAGGTGCCGTCCTGGGGACTGTACTGCCAAACTGAATAAAAAGAAGATAGTTAAGACTGGGCATGGTGACCTTTAATTCTAGCACTCAGGAGGCAGAGGCAGAAGGATCTCTGAATTTGAGGCCAACCTGGTCTACATGGTGAGCTCCAGGGAAGCCAGGACTACACCTGTCTCTAACCCCAGTCTCCCCTGCTGTGGGATAATGCTCTTGCACACTATAAAGATTTGTCACTTGTGTTGGTTTAATAAAATGCTGATTGGCCAGTAGCCAGGCAGGAAGGGGCAACCAGACTAAGAGAATTCTGGGAAGAAGAATGCAGAGAGTCAGTCACTACCTAGACACTGAGAAAGAAAGATGAGAATTCTCACTGAGAAAAGGTGTGAAGCCACATGCATAAACACAAATTAGAATTATGAATTAATTTAAGTTGTAAGAGTTAGTTAATAATAAGCCTGAGCTAATAGGCGAACCACTTTATAATTAATGTAAGCCTCTGTATATTTCTTTGGGACTGAATGGCTGTGGGACTGGGTGGGACAGAAGTTTCTATCTACACTCCCCTCAAAAAAAGCTAGCTCACCTTCAGCATTCATGTTTCTCTGCTTCCTGACTGTAGAAGTAATACAGTGGCAGCAGAAAGGGGGCCACGATTAACACAAGGTGTTAGGGAGCCAGCTCAGTGGGTAAGAGCACATCCTGTGGAAGTAAAAGGACCTGAGTTCTATTCTCTGGCACTCACACAAAAGCTGTGCATGGCTACACAGTAACATGGCCTGTGACTCCAGCACCAAGGGGGAGACACATGCGTTCTGGGAACTTGCTGGTCAGCAGACCTAGCTAAAGTGGCAAGCTTCAGTTTTAGTAAGACTCTGATCACCACCCAGCATTCTCCAATGCCCCCCACATTTGCATACACAGGCATGTGCACACACATACAGAGAGAGAAAGAGAGAGGGGGGGAGCCAGTTAATAGAAAGACTGGAAACCCCTCCCCACCAGAGCAGCATATAACAAAACTGCAGGCTTGAGACAAAGCTGGGGAAATGTCTTGGAGAAGGAAGCATTTATGCAAATGACCTATAAAGGCCAAGCCACTAGGGAACTCAGATTTTACATATGGGGCCTGCCCCAGCTCATTAGCCCACTTCCATTCTCAGGAGCATTTTTCTTTCTCTCTCTCTTTTTTTAAACACTTATTTTACATACTTCTTTTTTTTAATATTTATTTACTATTTTTTATGTTTGTTTACATAAATTTGCATTCACTAAGAGGCCAATTTCCTTGGAACTGGAGGTACAGGCAGTTGTGAGCTGCCATGTAGGTACTGAAAGCCAAATTTCAGTCCTCTGCAAGGGCACTAAGTGTCCTTAACCCCTGAGCCATCTCTCCAGGCTGCTTTTCTTTTTCTCAGTAAAACATCTCTATTTCTATCATAATCTAAGAGTCTCTGGTCCAGTTTCTTGTTCTGGGGCCCAGGAAGCTGGAAATCCCAGCAGGTGCTCCTCTAGACACAGATCCACACCTGTGACAATATGACTAGCTGTGTCTGGCTCCTGCTACCAACCTTCTCCTCTATAATGGATTGCACCCTCAGTATCTGAGCCAAAATACCCCACTTTCCTTTCTTTCTTTCTTCTTGTTTTTGTTCTTACTTTTTATGAAGTACTATATACAGGTAAATATAAAAAGTTATAAAAGCTTTTTTTAAAAAAAAAACTATCTTTTCTCATTTTACATACCAATTCCAGTTCCCACTCCCTCTCCTCCTCCCATTCCCTCCCCCTTCCCTCCCCATCCCACACCTCATCCACTCCTCAAAGAGGGTAAGGCTTCCCCTGGGGAGTCAACAAAGTCTAGCACATTGCTTTGAGAAAGGACCAAGGCCCTACCCCTGTGCAAGGTATTCCTCTAAAAAGAATGGGTTCCAAAAAACCAGTACAAGTAGGGATAAATCCTGGTCTCACTGCCAGTGTTCCTGCAGTCTGCCCCAGCCATACAACTGCTACCCACATTCAGAGGGCCTAGTTTGGTCCTATACTGGTTCATTCCCTGTCAGGCCAGAGGTTGGTGAGCTCCCATTAGCTCAGGTAAGCTGTTTCAGTTGGTATCCCCATCATGGTCTTGACGACCTCTTTGCTCATATTCTCACTCCTCCCACTTTTTGATCAGTCTTTGGGAGCTCAGCCTGGTGGAAAAAAGAAAGCATCTTCAACAAATGGTGCTGGCATAACTGGATATCAACATGTAGAAGAATGCAAATAGATCCATATATACACCCATGCACAAAATGTAAGTCCAAATGGATTAAAGACTTCAACATAAATCTGACCACATTGAACCTTATAGAAGAGAAAGTGGGAAATAGCTTTCAATGAATGGGCACAGGAGACCACTTCCTACGTATAACCCCAGTATCATAGACACTGAGAACAACAATAAATAAATGGGACCTCCTGAAACTGAAAAGCTTCTGTAAAGCCAAGGACACAGTCAATAAGACAAAAAAAAGTAGCCTACTGAATGGGAAAAGATCTTCACCAACCCCACGTCAGACAGAGGACTGATTTCCAAAATATATAAAAAAAAACTCAAGAAATTAGACATCAAAATACCAAATAATCCAATTAAAAAATGGAGTACAGATCTAAACAGAGAATTTTCAACAAAAGAATCTCAAATGGCCGAA